AAAATAGAGCTTATATATATATATAAGCTCTATTTTTTCTCAGTAACCTCTCTGAATGAGACATAAACTGGTATTGTAGCTTTGGGCATACATGATTCATGTTGGTGTACATATATTTCAGCACCGTGTAATTAGCTATTGGGTGGCACAGTGTGGGGGTTTCTGAATTGTGTGACATCACTTTCTCAATGGGTGCAGAATGATGCTGTGTTCTACCAGTGGGAATCTGAATTATTAGAAATGACTAAGCACTAGAACTATATTAATGAAACCTTTTTCAAACAATTTACTGTTTCCTGTTGTTCTTTTTCTTCTCTCTTTCCCCTCCTTTTGTTTTCCTTAATATATCATAGAATCATAGGATTAGAAGGGACTGCAATGGTCATCTAGTCTACCCCCCTGCCAAGATGCAGGATTTGTTGTGTCTAAGCCATCCAAGACAGATGGCTCTCCAGACTCTTTTTGAAAAGCTGTGATGAAGCTTCCACAACTTCCGAGGCAGTCTGTTCCATTGTCCTACTGTTCTTACAGTTAGGAAGTTTTTCCTGAGAGTTAATCTAAATCTGCTGTGCTATAATTTGAAGAACCCATTGCCTCTTGTCCTGATCTCTGTAGCAAAAGAGAACAACTTTTCTCCATCTTTTTTTTATGGAAGGCTTTCACGTATTTGAAGACCGCTGTCATGTTCCCCTCCTCTTTATCTCCTAAACATTCCCAGTTATTTCAGCCTGTGCTCACAGGGTTTGCATTCCATCCCTTTGATCATCGTTGTCACTCATTTCTGGCTCCTTTACAGTTTCTCTGCATCCTTTCTATATATTGGTGACCAAAATGGGACACAGTATTGCTGGGGCCTAACCAGCATGGAATAGAGTGGTACAATCACCTCCCATGACTTGCCTAAAATTGCATTTGCTTTTTTTACAACATTGCACTGGAGGTCGTGATCCACCACACCTCCCAGATCCTTCTGAGCTGTACTGCTGCCAAACCAGTTTTCCCCCATTCTGTATGTTTGCATTTGGTTTTTCTTCCCTACGTGTAGCACCTTACATTTCTTTGTTGAATTTCATTTTATTGTCTATAGTCCAGTTCTCCAATTTATCAAGATCCCTCTGAATTTTAGCTCTATCCTCCAAAGTATTGGTAACCCTCCCAGCTTTGTTTCATCTGAAAATCTGATCAGTGTGCTCTCTATTCCTATTCCAGGTAGTCAATAAAGATGTTAAACAACACCAGACCCAGAACAGATCTCTGTGGAACCCAACTTGAGACCTCCCTCCAATCCGATTCATTCCATTAATAGTTACTCTTTGTTTGTGGTTGTTTAACCGATTATGTACCCACTTAATGACAGTTCCGTTGAGCCCACATTTCTCCTGCTTTCTTATTAGAATGTTATGTGCAACTGTGTCAAAGGGCTTGATGAAGTCCAGATATGTTATGTCCACCACATTCCCCTATCTACCAAATCAGTTACCCTGTCAAAGAAGGAAATCAAGCTGGTTTGGCATGATTTATTCTTAGTAAATCCATGCAGGCTGCTAGTGATCACCCCTTTATCCTCCAGGTATTCACAAATTGAATATTTTATACAGTGCTCTAGTGGTTCCCAGGTATTGAAGTCAGCCTGACTGGTCTATAGGTTCTCAGCTCCTCCTTTTCCCCCTTGTTAAAGATGGGTACTACGTTAGCCCTTCTCCAGTCTTCTGGGACCCCACCTGTCATCCATGAGAGTGTAAATATTATTGCCAGTGGCTCCAAGATTCCTTCAGCTAATTCTTTCAGTATCTCAGGTAAATAGCATCCAGCCCTGCTGATTTGAAGTCATTGAAATTGATCAGAAGATTTCTGACGTGTTCTTTATTTATCCCGATCTGCATCCCTTCCCCTTTATTGTCTATTGTAACTTCGCTAGTCATCTGGGTACATGTTCTTTTTTGTGAGAAGACTGAAGAAATGGAGGCACTGGGCAGCTCTGCCTTCCTATCATCTTCCGTTACCAGTTCACCTTCTCCTTTGAGCAGCAGACCCACACCACCCTAGATTTTTCTTTTTGTATGACATATTTGAAGAATCCCTTCTTGTTGTCTCTAACATTTCTTGTAGCTGTAACTCATTCTTTGCCTTGGCTTTCCTGATTTTGTCCCTACACCCTTGCACTATTCCCATATATACTTCCTTGATGATGTGCCCCTCCTTCCATTTCCTGTATGTATCCCTTTTGGTTTTTCAATTTTTTCATTTTTTTTAAACCATTTGAACTAAATTGTGCCTTTTTGTCCGATGACTTTGGTGGTATTAATGGGCCACTTCACCTTGAATGGTCCCTTAGAGTATGTGTTAACTACTTATGCTGAACTATCTGTTCAACCTTGTATTCGGCTGTAGCACTCTGAGTACCTTTTCCAGCCCCGAGGAAGAGATCTGTGTGTAACCCTTCTGCCAGATGAAGCCAGCAGCAACCAGGGTTGGGTTCAATATCTAGGGGTTCCTTTCCATTGACACAACACAGACACAGCTCGAGCCCCCACCCAGTAACCTAGGAAATTTACACACCACCCCTGGTTGCCTCTGAGAGGCAATGCTTTCCCACTCACAAGCACAGAGTCTGAATGTAGAAAAGAAACTTTTAATAAAAGGAGGGAAGTAACTCGGCGTTAATTTGGGAAAACACCACAAACAGGGTTCATAAACATAAACCATGAGTAAAAGACCCACCTCCAAGTAGGTTGGGCAGTGTCCTTTTCCCCTCAGGTTCTTAAGTCCAGCAACCCAAAAGTCCCTTTCACATGCTCAACAATTCTCTGCACCCACTCACAGTTGCTGTCCTTGGTCAGTGCAGACCCAGAGTTCAGAGGTGCATCTGCAGAGTTCACCTCCCTCCGCCTGGGTGGGCTAAAGAGGTACCTTACTTGCTCCACTGCTCGGGCACTCGCTCGCCACCCTTCTCTGACAACCACCCTGCCGGCCGCCTGCTCACTGCTGTCACCGCGTGTCTCCATCAGCTACCCTGCTGGTGGCTTGCTCACTGCTCTTGCTGCACCTCTCCACTCTGCAGCACCAGCCACTCATTCACTACTCACTAGTTGACTGTCAGTCACCTTCTGCTGCCACCTGCCTCTCTGCTGTGACCTCTGCACATCAGTCTCTTAGTGATTTTTGGCTCTTTGCAGGCTGGGCAGAAACACAGTCCTACCACAACTGATTTCAGTACTGATAGGGCATTTAACATAACAAACAGGTGCCTAATTAGCTCTATTCTGTGAACAGTGGGGAGGAACAGGTTAAACTAGAGAGGACCCTTGATAAGAGTGTGCAGCCTCCTGGCTGGGAATACCTGTCTCCACTCCTCTTACTTTCACAGGGCTCTGACATTCGAGCCCCTGGCTTATCGAGGTTCTTTCAACTGAGGGCCCCCTCATTTGGGACAGGTTAAGCACAGTCCTGCTTTCCTGTATTCCTACAATAATTACAACATTGGTAACCATATTTCACTACCCCTGCATTCAGAACTAAGGTGATTTGTACCCAACACCAGCCAAAGTTGATCACTTTGACACCACTGTATCTGCTGAATATGTAAGCAGAGCAGGACCAAACTGTATTTACATAAACACACCCAAGTCATTCTCCCTCCCAGCTAGCTGTCAGGGAAGCATTCATTCAAACCCTGCTTACATGTGTAGCTCAGAAATTGTCTTTCTCACCAACAGAAGTTGATCCAATAGAAAATATTACCTCACCTATCTTGTCTCTCTTAGGCCATGTCTACCTACAGAGTTAAGTCGACTTAAGTTATGTCAACGATCATAAATCATTGTAATTACATCACTTGTGCAAGTTCACACAATACTCCTAGTGTTGGCGGAGCATGTCCA